AAGAGGAATCAAAGCCCTTCGACTTCATCCACCAGCGGGAGTTTTCCCAGCTCAATCGCCACACGGTCATCAAGATGAGCAACGAGAACGAGGCCCTGGACCTCTCCATGAAAACGGCACCCTTGCTCAAGGCCAGCAAAGCCAGCCTGCAGGTACCGCCAGAAGACGGGGCGTTGGACCTGTCGCTGGCGTCGTGCCGCAAGACGGGCAGTAGCGGGGGCCACGCTGAAGCAGCCGGTGCCATCTGCTCCGGCTCCATGCTGGACAGTGCCGCTCATGCCGTGCTGGACAAGCTCTCCAGCGCGACAACCCCCTTCACCTCTTCCAAACCACACGAAACCTCAGCCAAGGTCGACGGCCGGATCATGGGTAACAGCTCGGCCGAGCTCCTGCGACAGCAGCAGAAGTGGCTGGGGGGGCAGGCAGAACAGCCTGTGAGCCAAAGGCCGGCAATAATATCGAGATAGTAAGCACGTCACAGACAGCCAAAGTGATAGTGTCCGTCAAAGATGCTGTGCCCACTATTTTCTGTGGCAAGATCAAAGGCCTCTCGGGAGTATCCACTAAAAACTTTTCCTTCAAAAGGGACATGCCCCAGGACTCTGTGCTGCAGTGTTACGACGTGAAGAACCAGCCGGAGCCTAGGGATAACGCAGAAGCTCTTAGGAAGCCCGTAAAAAACAGGAGTGTAAAGTTAAAGAAAATGAACTCGCCAGAAATACATATTCTTCCAATCAAAAAGCAACGGCTTGCTGCCTTTTTTCCAAGAAAGTAAATTATGGGTTTTTAGAATTTTAAGATTATTATGAAAAAAATAATAAAAAAGATGCACTTGGTTTTAAACTCATTTAAAACTTTAAACTATCTTTGTAAGTTATTTTTGGGGGAAGGGGGAGAGGATCAGATGTAGATTCCCTATAAGCTGGGCTTTTTTCTTTTGTTTTTTGTTATCAAATTTTGACTTTTCATGAAAAACTGAATAAAAAGCAACCTATTTTTCAAGCAGATTGCACATTTTGCAGCTTTAATGGAATAATGGATGAGTCAGAGGGGTAAGAGCTATTTTCACTGCCATAAAGTGCTTTGATGTAATTCTTCATAACAGTTAGAATGGAAATTTCAAAATAAATGTTTGTACGTGCTAATTGGTTGCGGCATTTTTGTCATTTCTGGATTGCTTTCATTATATGGAAAAGGTTTGGCAAAAGTCTGTAAACTGTAAAGCACTACAACTGATTTGTGATGATCCTAAAATGTTAAGAGCACCAGGCTAAGAAAAATTATACCGTCCAACAGCACTGTCAGAGAGCGCTGCTGAACAGCCAGTAACGATGTGCCTAAACTAACTCCTGTGAAAACGAAAGTAAGAGTAAGCGAGCAGAACAGCCCAGGGCACAGCTAATGCCACTTTCGTTAGTAGAGACACATATGAAACAGTTTTAAAATATTAAGTAATATTAGCAGTTATTTTAAAAAGAAAACCCTAATAGTCAGGGGAATTTGGTGGCCGACGGGGGTGGGGGGTGGGGGTGGGATGAGGAAAAGTCACATAATTTTTCCCAGCCTGACTACAGATATATGGAAAAGTTGTTCATTGTTAGTTTTATAATTTTCTTTGATGGCTGAAGTCAATGCACAGTAAAAGAGTAGAACTATGTAACTTTGTTACTTGACAGTGTACAAGCCACCCACATAAATGGAGAAATGTGAATGTACAATTAAAATAAAAGTTCTGGTAGGTTACAGTTTTGCACTTGTGTATGAAAATGAGCTGGAGATGCATTATTGTACGTCTGCTTTTAAATGCACTTGGCTTGCTTGTAAAAACGTTCTTGGAAGAACGGACTTGAGAGCAAGGGAACAGTTTTCGATGGACACTACCTTTTTGTGGCTAGACCTGTGAACTTGGGAAAATTCTATTTTATTTTTTCATGACATGTTGCCAGAAGAGCACCTTTGGGTTTTTTGCCTTGGAGGAAAAAAAAGGAAAAAAAAAAAGCCAATTGTAAAACACCTCAGCTGAATTTGCAGCCAAACTACTTCCAAGACTCCTCTTGGACAGTTTTGGGAAGGGTTTTGCAGTGTTTTTTGCAATGACACATTGTCCAAACAAGCAGCGTCCAGTTAGAAATCTGACCTCAGCTTCAGGCACAGGTCTAATTCTGAAACGTGCTGAAACTTTTGATGCAAACATAGACATAAATTCACTATTCAGAAAATGCATCCTCATCAGGAAGTTAGGAAAGGCATTCTGCTCCTTCTGGGCTAAAATATTGCTGCCATCTTGCTTAAGAGGAAAAGCAGGGACTTTCACATAGCTAGTAATATAATCTGTCGACTCCCCCACTTTTTAACAACCATTTTTTAAAGCCTTTTATTTTTCCCAAAGCTGGCAGAACTGAGAGTGTTCAGAATAGCTTAAAGCACTGATGGATTCATTAATGTTGAGTTATCTGAATGTATTTTTCAATATATTTTTTCTTAATTGAAAATACTCTGCTGTTTTGTTTTGTTTCTTCCTAGAAGCAATGCTGATGAAATGCATCATCTTCTAGTTAGTGCAGTGCACAGGCTGAGGCTTTCCCAATTACTTGGGACGGCCAGCCCAATCGTCACTGCCGCTCTCTGGCAGCCGGGCCGCTGTCAAGATCTTCTGAAAAAGCAGTTTTTTTCTCCAGGGCTAGCAGGTGATGTTAAAAGAAGAAAGTCACAGAAGCAGCTGCTGCCATTTTTTTTACTTCTCAAGTAACACAAGTAAGTTTGAGGAAAGCGTTATGGATCAGGTGAGTTCTGGCGGTTTTTTTTTTTTGTTTTTGTTTTTTAAAACACAGGCTGCTTGCACTGGTGTCATGGTGGCATTGACCATCCCTGTCCCCAGCCCTCCCTGCATGGCATCACCTGCAGCACCCTCAGCAGGTAAGGGGCCTCCGGCTGACCCACGCTGTTACCTGCGCCAGTGCCAGACCTGGAGGCAGTTGATGAGGTTTCATATCTATTAGCCTCCCTCCTTTCCTTTGCAGGCTATATGGGAGCTATTACTGCTCCTGGGTTAGCTGCAATGCCCAAGCTCCCTCCTGGCCCAGTCTCCACACACAGTGGTCTGGTTTAACTGAATTTAGACCACAAGCCCCAGCAACCCTGACGGCAAATTAGGCTAAATCAGCTTTACACCATTATGAACCAATAAACCACTGTCTAAACGCACTATGCCTAACTAATTCAGTTTAAAACCAACTGGTGCCAGTCGTAAAGGCAGAGAACCTGAGTAACCACTTCAGTTGCATCTTCCCCAGGACAAGACAAGCAAGTGAACTGCAACCTCCCCCCCACCCCGCCCCCAATGGAGCTAAGGAAAACAAAAGAGGCTCCACACATCCTAGTGTTCCCCCTCTCCCCACCCAAAAAACAGTTGGCCTAAATGTGCATTTTTTTCAGAACAGCTGAGCTCTCCAGCACTCTTGGTCACCGCTGACTTCCCTGTTATTATAAAGCCAGTACGCTCGCTGCAGACACCTCACTATAAATGTTTCAACCGAATGGACTTCCTTTGTTCATCCACCCTACTGCTTGTTTTTTCGGATTACTTACGTTACAATGGTGGGGGGAGATTTTGCGCAACTTCTTTCCTGCCTGGAAGGCTTAGGACCGCTCACGCTGCGGTGCTACCACTGCACGCGATTCTAGTTCTAAAGGCTATGCTGTGACGGCAGAAGCAGCCACACAACAGCACCTTTCGGTATACTTACTCTGTTGGGTAAACTACACTAACTAGGTAGCATTTGCCTCCCACCACCACTCGCGTGTTTAAAGCACAAGTCCTACATCGTGTCAGCATGGGGGGGGGGGGAAGCAGCCACAGAAAAAGGTACTTAATTACACCAAGACTGAGTACTTCCACCTCCTCCTCCTCCTCGCTAGCAGCAATTACAGATTTTGTATATTGGGCCATTAATTTTCTACACAGCTACCTTTTAACTGCTTCTGAAACTTCTGTAGAGGGAGAAGGATGCAGAGCTGCACTAGTGATATATGGCGCTTCCATTTCTGGTGGTTGTTAATGGAGACATTAATACCTCTTCTGAAGTTGAAGGGAAAGTCGTTAAGCCGTAATGGTAGGAGGAGGATGTTTTACAATGATGAGTATACTCACGAGATAGAGAGAGAGAGAGAGAGAGAGAGAGAGAAAGAACGCGTGCCATACAGATCTTGAAGGGCAAAGGGGGTGAGAGTATTGCGTGTGGGGGTGGGGAGGTAAGGGACTACCTTCCCACCCATTTACTCTTTTTCCATCATTAGGTAAGAGGGCTTTGCAAGAAGCCACAGCACTTCATTCAAGGAGAGCAGCAGGGCTGTGGCTCTCAAGTGAAGGCCACTCTAAGTGGTGGCCTCAGGGACAGGACAGCTCAAAGACACACCTGCTAGAAGCTTTTCTCAGCAGGCAGCTCAGCTACCCTGCTCAGCACCCATGTGTAGCATATCACGTTCCCCTGCACGGCGTGCAAGGCACAGCCTGTGACAGAGAGAGCACACCTAAGATTTCTGCACACAGAATTAGCTGTTAACAGCAAAATGAGTCCAAAAGAAGAAGGAACAGTTTCTCAGTTGGAAAACTTATTTGGACCAGGCGATTCTTAGGCTGACAGCACAGACAGTCAGTCAGGTAGAAAGACGGCAATTATGAGTGCAAGAAAAGGGTGGAGAAAGGGTTGATGAAAGCAGACTGCGGAAGCAGAGATAAGAGCTATCTCCAGGTCTGTTAACATCACACCTTTATTAAAAGTTTGCAAGAATCCAGCCAGAGAATGAAGGGAAGAAACAAACCTGCAGCCCTTGGCCATGAGAAGATGACAAATAGAGAAAAGGAAGTTGGCAACTTCAGAGAATTTGCTCCAGGGACACTTGGCTTAGCAAGAGCAGGAAGAAAGGTGAGCGCAGAGTGACAGGAGTATAATGCTTCCTCGGGCTGAAGGGAGCCGAGTAGTGAGAGCAGGGGAAGGCAGTGTATCAAATCTTACACACGCAGAATATAACATTGAGGGAACATGAGGGAATACATCCATCCTACCCCTTCCACGCTGAAGCAAACCTGCCCTGGATACAGCAGGTCACGAGGAAGAACAGAAGCCAGCAACAAACAGAGCGAGACTAGAAAGAGAGAACAGCAAAGGCATCAGTTTCTGCATATCATAGCTGGTGAAGTAATATGTATGATAGCAGCATAGTTTCCAATTCACCTAAGAAATGTGAGGGCCCTAGGCCTCCTAACCACACACATTCCTATCAATGTAAATTTAAATGCCAATACACCTCCTGGTTAGCATGAGCTTTTCTTTTTTAACCACTTCTACCCATTTTATGTTCAGCTGCCAGAGCACTGAGGTACGTTACCCCACCTTTCACATTCCTGCAGAGTTTTGGCCCACAGGGGCTCACAGAACGCCTTCGCAAAAAGTCTCTTGCACGTTAAACCCTTAAACGGGAAACTGACTGGCACCGAAACGGCCACTGAGCACAGAAGGAAACATTTCGGAGAAGTCTGGGCTCCTTCACTTGCACAGAGGCACCTCAGGACAGTGATCCGACAACAATAAGTGACTCGTTAACAGTCCTTGTGAAGAATCTTAGACAATGAAAATAGCATAAAGCAACATTACATAATATCCTGGTGCCAGATGTTTTAGTTTCTTTTTGGGCTCAAGTTTATAAAAACATGCTGAAGTGCTCAAAGACCTTGTTTTCATCTGGCTGGGATCAGTTCCTGCCTTCCTGAATGCAGCCAGCCTGCCACTGCTACATTAATAATGTGAATTTGTGCAATTTGGTATTTATACTCACCTTTCACTTTTTCAGTGCTTCCCACTCCCCTTTATTAACGTTTCATTTCTCTCAGAATATACCACAGTTGTCACAGTTGAAGTTTGCAATTCAGAATAGTCTGGGATTGTCCTAGACACACAGGCAAATCCCTGAATTTCAGTGCGGATAACGTATTTTCCACAGTTGTTAAAATCCTGATAGCACACTCCCACTAGGAAAATACGTTCTGTTGTTGAACCATCTGAAACATTTCTACGTGTTTGGGGAGAAAAATTACTAATCACTAAAATATTTAGCATTGTTTTGTGCCTATATACCCTAAGCTCTC